ATCTAATGCTATATATCTGTAAAACAGGTTAAAGACTAATGGGGTCGAAGTGAGAAAATTTTTGCAGATCAGAATAAAATTTTTTCGAAAATTCCAAAGTAAAGCATAAAAATTACGTTTTTGGAACACAAATCGCTCGGCATGCGCGCTCCGCAAGCTCACCATCAATGTAAACCAAAGCTTTGTCTTCTTCAATGAATCTAAAACACACCATACATTTTAAGTTATGCTGAAAAAGCAGTTCAGATGCTAAGCAAAACCAGTAATCTCTGAATTAGCGTTTTGTTAGTGACGGCGAAACCTCAGAAATGTCGGTACGTTTGCATTAAAGCTGAATTTGAAATCTTTAGCTCACACAAGGGCATAGGACATTTCTGTGAATGCCAGCCTTCTATCCCCTCTAGTTCCCGAAATCATTTTTTTGTCAAAAAAATTGCATGGATTCTTTTATAAGTCTGCACATGAGGAACCTGTATCCGTGATAGGTTGTTTTTAAGCTGTTTAGATGGCACATGAGATAGGAACAAATTCGTGATATTCTAGCTTTCTGGCTTCTGCAGCAGCTGAGTTGAATATCGGTGACAAAAATCCCAACACACACACACACAAACACGCACACACATATGCACACACACATACATACACAAACACATCCGTCGAAAACCTCTAAACAAAATCCGTTTTGTACTTGCATAAAGATGGAAAAAACTAATAAAAAACAAGCAGGGTCACAAATAAACCAGCGTTTCAAACAATATTTGAAGAGAAACTACGTTGAATATGTCTGAAAACCCGTCAAGTGCAAGAAAAGGTATCGATGTGAAGCAAGATGGCGCCCACCCCGAAGGCCTTAGCAAAATCCCGGCGCAGCAAAAAAGTCACGGGGATTATTTAGCAAATTTGGAAGGTACAATTTAACATACATGTGTCTATCGGAGCAAATTTCTTCTGCCGATTTCATTGTACGCTCTGCTGGGGTGGTATTTGACTCGGTTATTTGAGCTTCATTCCTAAAAAACTCATAGTTTCATCAGAAATTTTTTCAAGTCCAACACGATAATCGTGTCGAAATAATACGTTAATGAAGTTACTGAAGCAACCGCACCTATCCTAGATCTATCGTCAACTCTATCACGATTTTTACCAGTGCCATTATAGTGAGAAAAAAAAAGTCAACATCGTTATCATTATATTGTTGTCATTATCACTGTATTGGTATCATTAATTTTCCTTCGATCGGGCGCTGCTAGCATCCATAATTTGCTTGATGTATGCATACAGCTGCAAACAGGCCACCTAACTGGTCCTTTACTTCTTCGTAAGGACCACTTTTTAACACATTTTGCCCACCGATTTTCTGCGAGGTAACACAGCATGCCTTGCCCATCGGATTTTACTTTGTTACATACTCGCAATGATGTCCTGCACGCCGCTCATCTGGTGGAGAGTCCGGTTTTTTTATGGGTCACAACACGGCAAGCATCCTTCGCTCAATCATTCCCTTCGTCAAAACCAACGCTTATTATGCGTTTTTGCAGCTATGCAGTGCAGAAAACGCATACTGACGAGAGGTTGTCTGTGTGTGTGTGTCTGTGTGTCTATGTGTCTGCGTGTCTGTGTGTCCATACATGCGTCTGTCACGGTTTTTCATCTCAACACCTACAAAAGCTACATGGCTGAAACTTTGGGAACTTAATCTATATGCACGTTCGGGCCCCAATCCCCAAAATTGGCGTCACTACCCGCGTGGTACCCGCGTACGGACCCGCCAAAATTTTTTTACGGGTAAATTGCTAACTCGGGGAAGTGAGAAGCTAGAAGACTGGGATTTTGAAGGGATGTTTCCTGATAGTCCTGGCGGCCAGTCTGAAATTCTTTTGGCTAGAAGCATCTGCCAATAAAACTAGTGCCGTTAGCGACAAAAATCTGCGGGAAGCTGTGCAAAAAAACGCATCTTCGCACGGGCAGCCCGTGCGTTGGCCAATTATTTTTAAAATATCGTTAGTCACCGCATTTCGAATCGAAAAATCAATGCCTTCAGCCCTTCAACGCGCAATCTTCGGCTGCATTTTATA